GACCAGGCCCAGCGCAGCCGCCTCGTGCGCAGCCTGGTGCACACGCTGCCCGCCCCCAACCACGAAACCATGCGGCTCCTCTTCCAGCACCTGTGCCGGTGAGTGGGCGGCCGTGGCGATGGGGAGGCGGGCCCTGCGGGGACCCCCACACTCTCCCATCGCTGGGCCCTGATTCCCCTGCACCCCATGCCGCTGCAGGGTGATTGAGTACGGCGAACAGAACCGCATGTCCGTGCAGAGCGTGGCCATCGTGTTCGGGCCCACGCTGCTGCGGCCCGAGACGGAGGAAGCCAGCATGCCCATGACCATGGTGTTCCAGAACCAGGTGGTGGAGCTCATCCTGCAGCAGTGCTCCGACATCTTCCCGCCGCACTGACCCCCACGCCGGCGCTGGCCACGTGTGTCCTGCCACGCGGCTAGACTCGATTTCAGAGACCCTCCACTTCCCCCCGGTCCGCAGGCCGCGGGGAATTCTGCGCCCTCAGTTCTGAGGGTATGGTGACCCTTGGTGGGTAGCTCACAATATGTGATTTTCCCCTCACCTGTCCTGTTTTGGGGTTAGTTGGGTTCTGTTCTTTATTACAGCGCCACCTCCTGTGTGTGCGCGGGCGCGCACACGAGAATGTCGTGGGGGGCGGGGGCGGTGAGGGTTGTTTCTGGGATGCCCAAGCCCCTTGTTGCAAGGAGTAATTTGGGTGAGGGGCTTCCTGGCTTCTGCAGGCTTGAGGCCTTAACAGAGACCCTGTGGGCTGGCACTGTGCCCGTCATGAAGCACCTTCCCTGCGGCCGAAACAGGACTGACCCGGGCCTCCAGTGCGGGCAGCTGAACCTGCCTTCCCTCAGGCGCCAGGAAGGAACTTCTGCCCAGCCCTCCCACTGGCTGGCTGTGGACAGTTTTCGCCTGCTTTCTTGTTTGCGGTTCCGGGCCTCTGCCCTCCTTGACCCACTTATGTTCTGTGCCAGGGGTCTTCCCCTTGGGTAAATGTGTGCCTGGCATCTGCCACCCGACATGCACCATTTCCACACACGATCCCACTTTACAGATGAGAAAGCCGAGGCTTGCAGAGGCAAAGTGACTTGTTCAGGGTCCAGTGGGTGATCTGACTCCCCAGCTCAAGCTCCCCTTCTACCAAAGCACAGCCTCATGGTGGGGTAAAATCAGTCCTTTCAGCTACCCCCTCACCGCAGCAGGGATTGATGGGTAAAGCAAAAAAAAAAAAAACGAAGCTGGGTGGGTTCTGTCTGGGCCTGGGGAGGTGAGCGCCTGGACCTGGAGGTGAAGAGGGAGCCTGCCCAGCTGTTCTTCCCTGGGGGAGGGGAAGTGGCACTAGCAGGAGCCCCTCTCAGTACCTGGCTGTCAAGTATGCCTCCCTGGTGGCTGCCTTGCCACTCAGAGTTGGGAGAGGCCTGCAGGATGGAGGGGAGGGGAGTGTAACCCCCACAAAGGCAGTGTGGACCCCGGGGTCAGCAGCCCCCTTTCCTCATGCACAGACCACATCAGTTTATGGGTCTCACCTCCCTGCCTCTCCCACCCGCTCGCTCACTCCACAAGCAATAATAGCTAATATTTATTGACATTTGCACCATGCCAAGCGTTGCACTTGGATCATCCTGTTCGTCTCTCACAGCCAATATTTATTACCTGCTCTTCTGTGCCAGACACTGCTCTGGAGCAGAGTGCCGCTCGTTGCCTCCCTGGTGGAGCTTCTGGTCCGGTGGGTGAGGCTGCCCCCAGCCCACCCCTGATGCCAGCGGGGCTTGGGCAAGAGTACACGTGGAGGCCACACCCGTCGAGATACTGTAAACTTACAAATCAAGCTAACGACTGTTCAATAAAATACGTTTTGTTCTCCTACTTTGGCAGGTATACTTTCATGCTGACCTGGAAGGCCAGGTTCTGAGGTAAACTTGCTCTCAGCCTGCCCCCTGTATCTTCCCACCCCAAGGCCCATCCTGCAAGGAGAAGGTCATGTGCACATATGTGGACACTCCAGTCCATGAGTGCAACCTGCCACACCCCCTACAACCCGCTTCCCCATGGCCACTCCACCCGGTCCACCCTGAGGGAATGGGCCTGGGGCCTTTGGGCAGGGGATTTGGGGGTCCCGTGCATCAGGAGTGTGGTCTAAAGGAAAGGGCCTAGGCTCTGAGAGGGCCCCACAGATTCCTCATCCTATGGGATCCAGGGAAGGGTAGGGCAGGGACCCCCGCATCCAGGTGTAAGGTTTGGAACTTGACACCTGACGACTTGGTTAAGTACATTTATAGAAAAGCTAGGGAAAGGCACAGGGTCCTCTGAAGCTGTGTCGCTGGAGTGTGACTGTCTCCCAGGGACCTGAGATGTCTCTGCAGAAGCCACATCTGAGCCAAACACTAAAGAATGAAGAGGAATTAAGGGAAGAGTGTATAGTCAGAGGGAACAACATAGGCAAAGGCTCTGAGGCAGGAAGGCTTGTGGGAGAACACATCTAAAGACATGATTAGAGCCGGGAGATCCTGTAGGCATGGGTGTGGGAGAGGCTGGCAGGGGCAGAGTGTGCAAGGCCTTGTGTACCCCAATAGGGGGCTCTGTGGTACCCGCTGGACAACAGGCAAGAGGATCCCTGGGCAGGGATGTCTTAGGAAATGTCAGCTCAGTGTGAGACATTCACACCTCAGAGGCTTCTTATGATGATAAAAGGAGACGTGTGCAGTATACACGGCCCACAGCCCGCTGCAGGAACCTTCATAAAGCCTCTTTTACTACCTGACTTTCCTATGAGTTTGTTAGTACGATTTATTTTATATAATTACTACCTGATTTGTATATTATGTTTTTTTCAATCACTATTACAAGACCACCTTCTTTCACCATACACAAGAATAAACTCAAAATGGATTAAAGGCATAAATGTTAGACTTGAAACCATAATACTCTTAGAAGAAAACATAGGCAGTAAGATCTTGAACAGTTCTCAAAGCAATATTTTTTCTGATATATCTCAGGCAAGGGAAAAAAATTTTTTTAAAAAATGGTACTACCTACAACTAAAAAGTTTTAACACAGCAAAGGAAGCCATTAACAAAATGAAAAGAACACCCACTGAATGGGAGAGCATATTCACCAATAATGCATCTGATAAAAGGTTAATATCCAAAATTTATAAAGTATTTATACAACTCAACACCAAAAGAACACACAAACAATACAATTAAAAAGTGGGCCAAGGACTTGAATGGACTCTTCTCCAAAGAGGACATACAGATGGCCAATAGACATATGAAAAGATGTTCAATGTCACTAATTACCAGAGAAATGCAAATGAAAACCGTAATAAGATATCACCTCACACCTGACAGAATGGTTATCATCAATAAATCAACAAACAAGTGCTGGTGAGGGTGTGGAGAAAAGGGAGCCCTCATACACTGTTGGTGGGAATGCAGACTGGTGCAGCCACTGTGGAAAACAGTATGGAGTTTCCGCAAAAAATTAAAAGTGGAACTGCCTTGTGACGCAGAGATTCCACTTCTGGAAATATATACCAAGAAACCCGAAACACTGATCGAAAGACAGTATGCACCCCGTGTTCACTGCAGCATTATTGATAATAGCCAAGATCTGGAAGCCGCCCAAGTGCCCACCAGTAGATAATTGGGTTAAAAAAAAAAAGCTGTGGTTCATTTATACAGTGGAATACTACTCAGCTGTAAAAAAGAAGGAAATCTTACTTCTGCGACAGCATGTATAGACCTGGAGAGCATTATGCTAAGCGAAATAAGCCAGTCAGAGAAAGACAAATACCATATGATTTCACTTATATGTGGAATCTAATGGACAAAATAAACTAACAAACAAAATAAAAACAGACCCATAGATACAGAGAACAGAATGACAGCTGTTAGAGGAGAGGGGGTAGGGAGACTGGGTGAAAAAGGTGAAGGAATTAAGCAAAAACAACAATAGCCTCATAGACACAGACAACAATATGGTGATTACCTGAGGGACAGAGGGTTGGGAGGAGGTAGAAGAGGGTGAAGGGAGGATAAATGGTGATGAAAGGAGACTTGACTTTGGGTGGTGAACATACAATACAATGTATAGATGATTGTACACAAAACCTGTATAATTTTATTAACCAATGTTACCTCCAATAAATTCAATAATTTTTTTTAAAAAGAAGTCGTCGCATAAGTAGTACAGAGAGGTCCTTGTACCCATCACCTAGCCTCCCCCAGTGGTGACAGCTTACAAAACTGTAGGGCAGCGGTTCTCAACCTGTGGGTTGCAACCCCTTTGGGGGTCGAACGACCCTTTCACAGGGGTCGCCTAAGACCATCCTGCATTATCAGATATTTACATTACGATTCATAACAGTAGCAACATAACAGTTATGAAGTGGCAACGAAAATAATTTGATGGTTGGGGGTCACCACAACATGAAGAACTATATTAAAGGGTCGCGGCCTTAGGAAGGTTGAGAACCACTGCTGTAGTGCATTATGAAAACCAGGAAAGATGGCACTATACAATAACTAGGCTCCAGACCGTACTCGATTTCACCATTTTGTGGATGTGCTCATTCTTTTGTGTGTCTTTGTGTTGAATTCCATGACATTTTATCACACGCATAGATTTATATAACCACCAGCACAGTCAAGATAGAGAATTGTTCTATCGCCTCAAAAGAAATTTCTTATGCTGCCCCTTTATAGCCACACCCTTTCCCCCCTTCCCAAGGTTGCCTGGCAACCTTGTCTGCTCTCCATCTCTATAATTGTGTCATTTCAAGAACGATATATAGATGGCATCATAAAATATGTACCTTTTGAGATTGGCTTTCTGCACTCAGCATACCAGTAATGCCTCTACGATCCATTCAAGTCATTGCAGCTATCAATAGTTCATTACTTGCTATTGCTAAGTAGTATTCCTCAGATATGGTTTTTAAATTATTTTTTATTGATTTCAAGAGAGGAAAGGAGAGGGAAAGACAGATAGAAACATCAATGATCAGAATCATTGATTGGCCGCCTCCTGCATGCCTCCCACCGGGGATCAAGTCGGCAATCTGGGCATGTGCCCTGACCAGAATCCAACGGTGACCTAGGTGACCTCCTGGTTCATAGGTCAACGCTCAGCCACTGAGCCACGCAGGCCGGGCGTCCACAAATATGCTTTTAGAGAGACTCTCCCAGCTGTGCATGGAGGGAGGAAGGAGGGAGACCAGCTAGGAATCCAGGCAAATATCACAAGCCTGACCTCCGTCCTGGCTGGCGTCTGCATACCTCCCTACCGCTGACCGTGGCCCCAGATGTGTTCAGGCCCTAAGGTCAGGGTTGGCCACGGGGAGCGAGCGATCGGATTGTTGACGCAGAGCCGCCAGTAGAGGGCGCCAGAGGCCTTTTGTCCAAGAGCTGACTCTCAACAGTGAACCACAGAGAGGGTTCCGGGAGCTTTGGGCCTGCTGTGCGCAGGAATCAAGAGAACCCCGGAGTCTTGTACCCCTCCGGAGCCCAGCCCCCAAGTTCCAGTGCAGCGCTGAGCTCCAGGGCCGGGGGAGCAGGCTGACGACGTCTAGTGGAGGAGGAGGCAAGGTGAGGCCAGGACCGGGAGGAGGTGGGCTGGCGAGGTGCGGTAACCCCCACCCCGCCAGCCCAGGGCTCACGCTCAGAGGGTGTCTCTGAGCTCAGGCCGCCAGACTGGGCCTTGGCGCCTCGGCCCCGTCCATCCTTCCTCATCCCTGAGGATTGCCCTCAGGTCCTTGCCCACTTCTCCTAAGAGAACGCTCCCAAGACCCTGGAGCTTGTCACCGGCCTGTCGCTTCTGCATAGCCCTCTCTCACTTGCCTCCCTGCACCACCGCACCCTCCTGCCCGCGCCGCCCGCTGAGTAGAGCTGGCATTTGTGAGCGAGCAGAGTGGGCCCCTACTGGCCCCGGACACCTGCTAACCTTAGGGCCAGACGAGGGGCTCTGCTGCGGTGTTCCGAGTGCCCACTCTCCTCCAAACCCGCGCTGCCCCATCGCCTTCCGAATTCAGCCCCCTCTCTAGGCCTGATCTTCACTCTGCCATCTCGGGCTCCCTGTTCCCAGGTGCTTGCGGATGCCCCGCTACCAGAACGTGCCCTGCAGCTTCCCACCTCCACGCCCTTGCTCAAGCCCTTCCCCTCTGTCAAGGGCCCTTGCACCTATTCTCCAGCTCCATGTCCACTCCTCCGAGAAGCCTTCCCCAGTGCCCAGCGCAGAGTGGGCTAAAGGCGTGCGTTCCCATCCTCTGTGCTCCCACCTGATGCCTGTACTTCCTTAAGAGAATCTGTTTCATGTGGCCTTGCTAACAATTTGTAGTTTACAATCTGCCTTTCCAGCGACTTCTCATTCCTCTCTTACTCCCCAGAGCCTCATGCCCCGATTTGGATAAATGAATGAATGCAGCAGGTGACAGATCTTGGACATCCTCCTCCTGTGACCGGCTTCTGTCCTCCATCCCCTCTGATTACTCCTGGGTGGCTTTCTTTGCCCCTCCCCCCACCTCTAAACACTGGTGTTCCACCCTCCCCTCTGCCTGGCTCACCTACACTGACAGCTTTACCTGTTGTCCTTGATCCAAAGGGCCCCCCATCCACCTCACAGCCCAGAGCCCTGAGTCCCGTGCATACAGTCCTTGTCCGTATGTGTTTTTCCAACTACGTATCTTTCCCACGATAAGCTCCATTAGAGCAGAAATTTTATCTGTATGATCCACTGCTGCACCCCTGGCACCCGTACATGCTCGGTAAATATTTATGAAATGAATGAATGGGAGACTCTCCCTCTGAGGTCCTGTGAACTGTTCAAATTCAACACGTCCCAGATTCATTTCATTATCTCCTCCCTCCGCACAATGTGCTTCTCCAGCCTTTGCTGCCTCTCTCCTCTCAGTCCTCCAATTTAGAAACCCCACAGTCACCCCAGGCATCATCTTTTACTCTCTCACCACTATCACTCAGCCACTACGTTGCCCAGATTCTACCTCCCATCTTTCCAGCTCCCACACTCACCCCAGTCCCTGGCACACCTCTAATTTAGACCCTTGATAGCACCTGGACCAGTTCAGCTGCTTCTAACTTGGGTCCTCGCCTCTGTTTTTGCTTTTATCCACATTGCCAACTGGGTGATTTTTCTGAAACATCAATCTCAGTATGTCAACCCCTAGTTAAAACCCTCATTACATCCATGTCCCTTACAGCTGTGTTTTCCCAAGTGTAGACCTCACACAGTGGGTAGCAGAGGACATAATTATAGAAGGTTCAAGGATAAAGGGTTAGAGGGTGTCTGAGACAATGAACAGGAAGCTGAATAATAAGAAAGTTATTTCCTTTCTGATTCTTTCCAGCCTTTAGAAGACATCAAGGAGAAAGTCTCCGTGTGGTGCTAGAATGTCCATAACGCCTATTTTTCACCTGCTCATCTCTTAACAGGAATCAGGACTCTATCCACATTGCCAGCCACAAGGTATTTTAGCTAGAATGTAATAACATTGTCTTGTTGTATTTATTTCACAGTTACCTACTCTCTATGGTATGTGATATTGTTTTCTTATTTATAGTAGTAATATTCCATAAAGTAAATTTATTTAGGAAAAGATATTGCAAATCATATATCCATCAAAGAACTAACATCCAGAATATATAAAGAACTCTTACTTATCAATAAGAGTAACCAATAGAAAATTTAAAATCAAAAAGAAAAATGAGCAAAAGACTTAAACACTTCATAAGAAGAGGATATACAAGTGGCAGTAAACAGATGAAAAGTGCTCAACTACGTTAGTCATCAGAGAAATGTGAATTAAAACCACAACTTGATATCTTTGTATACCCACCCACCAGGACTAAAATGAAAAAGAGTTCCAGTATCAAATGTTCACAAGGATGTGGAGTAATTGAAGCTCTGACTCACTGGTAGTGAAGATGTAATTTATAAGAGCTACTTTGGGAAACTGGCCATATCTACTGAGCTGAGCACACCCATCCTACCCTCTGACCCAGGAATTCAACTCCTGGGTATACTTCTAACAGAAATGAATACTCTTCACCAAGAGTCATGCATAAGAATGGTCACAGCAGCTTTCTTCATGATAGCCCAAAATCTAAAACCGTCTCTATCACAGCAGTAGAATGGGTAAATACATTCTGGTCTATTCACAGAATGGAATGCTGTATTAAAGTGAGAATGAATAAATTAAACTATACAAGTGTTGAGCCAGGCACAAAAAAAGAACAGTCTTTTTGGTTCCATTTATATGAAGTTCAAAAGCAAACAAAACTAATCTGTGCTGTTACTGTTGGCGGCAGTGAAAATGGCACCGGGTGTTAGACCTGTGGAGTCAGGCCTGACCTCCTGCCACCTCGGTACTTGAGTTCTGGCTAAGAAAGAATTCAGAGCCAAGACTCAAACGTAAGAGAAAGTTTATTTAAAAAGTCACAGAGGGAGGAGAAGTGAAGCTATCAAAGAAATGGGTTCAGGAAACAGGTTACAGAGGCCAAAGAAGGGCCCTTGGAACTTAGGAGAGAGGAAGGTAGAGGTAATGCGCTGGGGGTAGGAGAGAGAGACTGGAAAGGAGTGAAGGCTCGGGGAGGGAGAGCCTGCGTCCTCAGTCCTTTGAAGGGTGGGGATGTTAGGGGAGGTCCCAGGGGAGGACCTCAATAGAATATTCATCAGCTTTCCAGGTGTGTCCTTTTAAGGTCATGGTCTCCACTGGTTGGCCGGCACCAGCTCAGGGGGGGGGGGGTCATTAGTCAATGCTGTTGGCCCTGATGTCAACTGTGGCATCACTTGTCTGGTTTTGCTGCTTTTCTGAGCCTGGAGCTGAAACACAACTGAGACCTAGATGTTATCCCTAGGGGTTAAATGCTTAAGGGATTGGTCATGCAAGGGCCCGCATGGGAATTGTATGAGGCCACCCTTGTTCCTTCTCTAAGGTGGTCTACCCTATGACCAGCGAATGCCAGGGAGGAAAGGTCAGGGGAGGGTCAGAGCTGCATGACCAGCAATCTGGATGGCCAGGAGGTCTAAAGCACATTCCTAGCCTACCCCAGTGCAGCTCAGACTGGCTACCTGTGGGGCTGCGCCTGGGAGGAGGCACAAGGGCAGCTGCTGAGGGGCTCGTAATATTATGTTTTGATCTGGGTGAAAAGTTACTTTTGTTATATGAGTGAAAGTCAATTTATTTGTGTGCTTCTTCCTATATATGTTATGCGTCAAGAAAAATTTACTTAAATTTA